GTTTATGCCCATACTACAGAAAAGCCAGAGGAAAATGAGCAGGCAACAAGGTCAATAATCTACCAAAGGATGAAAGCCAGGCAGAAGCTACCAGAGGTATCCATTCCACACGTCTATAAGAAGCAAGTGCAGTTCATCCAGGTTTCTAACTATATAAGAGAAGAGAAGAGAAGAGAAGTAAACAAATATGGTCAGTCTAAGGAATACACATTGACACACTGTCCCATTATGCTGCTTTAACTTTGCTGCCTCTGAACCTAAAATTAGCTACCTTCCACCTTTCATCACAACAAAAATTCTGTGGACCCTAAGCTCCTGTTTGATGTCCATTATTTGTTCAAAACAATATTTTGAACAGTGATTTTTTTGAGAATGTGTGATTAAAAATTTTGAATTTACGTGCAGAATATTTTATTTTGTGAATGTGAGGTTGAAAATGATTATGTAGAATAAGGTGTTTTGAAATAATGATTGTCAAACAGGGGCTAAAAAAGGATGAGGAACAGAGGAGAAAAAGCAGTGCTTTGGGTTGCTTTGTCAAGATAAAAGGCTTGGAGCCAGTGAATTTGTTTAATGGGGGCAAGAATTGAGTATTGGAAAAAAAAAACACTTTCACAATAATCAATCAATTAAAGAAAGAAATTCATTCTGGAAATAAAACTCAATAAATCGGCCTAATCAGAATTGAAGAACACTAAATTGTAATAGTATTCAAGAATTCAAGCAATCCCATATCAAAACACTAGTTAGTAAAAGTAGAATTCAAGAATAATCTGCTCTTTTAAAGTCATCACTATGCTTCATCAGCAGTACAATCCAGTTTTTTTTTTTTAATCTTCAGTCTTGATTTCTACAAGAGCAAATCTCTAGCCTGGACATCTGGAAAAGTCCAAGTGCCCGATGAAGCATGAAAATAATTTCTATATCCTGAAGTGTGAGAGTAAGAAATGATTTTTTGTATTTATTTATATATAGTTCTTTAAGCAACTCAATTCCACCACAGTAAACACTCTTCTGTGAACCAAAAAACGTGAGGAGAAAAATGTCTCTGGTAGAAGGGAGCC